CTTAAATTAATTTCTATACGTATTTTTATTACTTTCCTCCATTTTTTTCCTTTAGATTTTCCTGTGATATTTTTCGAGTTACCTTTAGTCATAAAATTTTTTATGGCATCATTGAGGCATAATTTACATACCATGATATTCATGATTGTTAAGTGTATAATTCAAAGATTTTTAAAAGCAAATTTATAGAGTTGTGTAACCATCAGCACAATGCAGTTTCAAATTTTACCATTGTTCCCCCAGTTTTTCTTGAACCTGTTTGCAATAAGTCCTTGCTTCCACTCTCCTGGTCCCAAGTCCTAAGTAACCACTGATCTACTTTCTATGTCTAATAAACTCACCTTTTCTGGATATTACCTATAAATAGAATCATAAAATGTGTAATTTTTTGAGTCTGGCTTCTTTCACTTCACATGATGTTTTTCCATGTTATATCATGCAATGTTCATCCATGCTATTGATATGCATGTATATATATTGCCAAAATAGTATTCCATTGTGTGAATATACAATATTTTGTTTATCTGTTCACTGGTCAATGGTCATTTGGATTGTTTCCAGTTTTTAGTTATTATAACTGATGCTGTTATGAACATTGGCATACAAAGCTTTGTGTGGACATTCTTTCTACTTCTTTTGGGTATATTTCTAAGAGTAGAATTGCTGAGGCGTAAGGTAATTCTCAATTTTACTTAATTAAAAAAAACCCTGTCAAACAGTTTTCTAAAATGTCTATGATATTTCACATTCTTATCAGTAATGAGTGAGGATTTCAGTTTCTTCACATCCTCATCAACCCTTGCTTGGCATTGTTTATCTTTTTTTGACTATTATAATTCTAGTAGATGTGTTGTAATATTCTCATTGTGGCTTTAATGTGTATTTCCCTAATGTTTAATGGTGTTAAGCATCTCTTCATGTGCTTGTTAGTCATTTATATGTCTTTGGTGAAATGTCTATTCCAGTCTTTTAAAAAATTTAAAAAATTGAGTTGTTTTGTCTTCTTATAGTGTGTTGGAAGAGTTCTTTATCAGATATATAATCTGCAAATATCTCCCCCAGTCTGTGACTTGTCTTTTTAATTACTTAAGTGTGTCTTTAGAAGCAAAACATTTTTAATTGTAATGAAGCCCAATTTTACAATTAAAAAAAAAAAAAAGACTTGTGCTTTTAGTGTTACATCTAAGAACTCTTGCCTAATTCAAGGTCACATAGATTTTTCTCTTATGTTTTCTTTCAGAAATTTTTATAGTTTAAACTCTTAATTTAGGTCTAGAATTCTAGGATCCAATTGAGTTGGTTAGTGCATGTTGTCAGAAAAAAGTCAGAACTGTTTTCTTTTCTTTTTGCATACAGATACCCAATTGTCTCTGCACCAATTGTTGAAAAGACTACACTTTTTTCATTGAATTATCTTGGCAATTTATCAAAAATCAATTGAATAGAAATTCAAGGGCCTATTTCTGAATTCTCAGTTCTGTTCCATTGATCCATGCCTATCTTTACACCAATGTCAAATAGTCTAAATGATTGATGCTTTATAGTAAGTTTGGAAATTGGATAGTATGTCTTCCAACTTGTTCTTCTTTTTCAAAATTATGCAGGATCAGTAGATCTTTTGCATTCCCATCTACATTTTAGGATCAGTTTGTCAATTTCTACAGACAAGACTACTGGACTTTTAATAGGGATTGCATTGGATCTATAGACCAATTTGAGAATAATTGCCAACAATTTGACTGTGATGTGATCTCTTTGTGTTAGTCCTATGAGGGTTTGTGGAACTTCTTGTATCTATAGACTATCTTCTCTATTTACCAAGTTTAGAAAATTTTAGGACATTAAATAATGTCCTCAAATAGTTTTCTGTTTCTTTTTTCTTTTTTTCTTATGGAAATAACATTATAACTATGCTGTTGTTCCACAGGTCTTTGATGACTTTTTCCAATCTTGTTTGCTCTGTCTATCAGATTGGATGCTTTCTATTGATCTGTCTTTAAAATTTTTTTTATTTTATTATAGGAATATGGGGTACAAGTGAGGATTAACTAAATAAGTAGGCTACATGCAGGCAAAGTTTGGGCTTCTAACTGGCCCTGACTCCTTTTGTCAGTAAGGGATACTTGTATAGATACAAGTATCTTTGTATTGTCATGTGCCTCTCACCTTCCTCCATCCCTCCCTCTCCTAGCTGTGCCCAGAGCCAATCACTTCCTTGTGCTAATGTGACTAATGTTCAAGACCACTTATGAGTGAGAACATGCAGTATTCAGATTTTTTTCTGTGACAGATCACTTAGTGATGGTGTCCAACTTCATCCAATTTCTGCGAGTCCATGATTTTTTCTTCTTTATGTCTGTATAATTCTCCATCTTGGATTTGTATCACATTTTCTTTATTCAGTCCACTTTCTATGAGCAGTAGAGTTGGTTCCATGTTTTTGCTACTGTGAATAGTGGGGCAAGAAAGATGCATGTGCAGGTATCTTTTTTTGTAGAATGATTTATGTTCCTGTGGGTATATTCTCAGGAAAGGGATTACTGGATCATATGAAAGGCCAAATTTTAGTTCTTTTAGGAATCAGCACACTGCTTTCCATAGAGGTTGAACTAGCTTACACTCTCATCAACAGTGTAAAAGCATTCCATTTTCTTTGCACCCACATCAGCATCTGTTGTTTTTTGACTTATTAATGATAGCCATCTTCACTGGAGTTAGGTGGTATCTCATTATAGTTTTGATTTGCAGTTCTCTGATGATGAGTGAGGTTGAGCATTTTTTCACATGTTTGTTGGCTGCTTGTTGTCTTTTGAGAATTGTCTGTTCATATCCTTTGCTCACTTTTTAATGGGTTTGTTGGTTTTTTTCCTTTTGCTTTGTTTGAGTTTCTTGTAGATCCTGGATGTTAGACCTTTGTCAGATGCATGATTTGAGATTTTTTTCACCGTTCTGTGGGTTGTCTCTTAGTCTCTTGATGGCTTCTTTTGCTGTGCAAAAGCTTTTCAGTCTTGGTGAGGTCACATGTATCTATCTTAACTTGTAAAGGTCTTCACTTTTGGGGACTTGGTCAAGAATTTGTTGCTGACTCCAGTGTGCATAAGGATAATTCCTTTGTTTTCTTCTAGGATTTTTATAGTTTTAGGATTTTTATAGTTTTAGGTTTGGTCTTTGATCCATTTTGAGCTGATTTTTATATATGGTGATAGGTAGGGGTCCAGTTTCCTTCTTCTGCATGTGGTCAACTAGTTTTCCCAGCACCATTTGTTAAATATGGTCTCCTTTCCCCTTCCTCAGTGATTGTTAATTGTGATTTTGTTGAAGATGAGTTGGTTGAGAGACCGTATGTTTGCTTATGTAATCTTTGTTCAGTTCCATTGATCTATGTGCCTAATCTTATGCCAATACCAGGCTGTTTTGGTTACTGTAGCCTTTTAATAAAGTTTAAAGTCTGAAAATGTGATACCTTCTGCTTAGATCCTTTTGCTGAGGAGCCAAGGATCTATTTGGTTATTCATGCATGTGTTCTTACTGAATTTATCAAACCTATGTCTGGAATGACTTTCAACGACTTTCAAGCAATGATGAAAGTTAGTTTTAAAATAATATAATAAAAGCTTAGAGGCAAAATGAGACCTTTATAATTCTTTCTTCAAACATTCCTGAGTTATGGAAAAAGATTTTCACATTTGAATGGTAACTTATAGAAAAAAAATTGAACTTCTTAATTTCTTAAAAGAGTATTTCAATGATTTAGGTTAAAATCAACAAAGGCGTGACTTTCCTTGATATACCTGGGTTTTTCTTGCATTTGACTTCAGCTGTGTACATAATGCTCTTTATCTCATGGTAAGAGTTTGTCTACCTTGTTAGAATTCATGAAGCTACCATTAGAAATGTTGTCTAAATGGAAATATTTTAAAACAGAATGTGGTGCATATTATTTTTCTTCCCAGAAAATAACATTCCAAAGAAGATAGTTTCATTTGATGAATAGATCTACGAAGCAAAATTGTCATATCCTAAAATACAAGTGGCTTCCTGGGAAATTTATAGGTTTCCAAAATTTCAAAGTCAGATTGTAAATACAGCTGCTGTGTGTGATTCTCTGTAGATAAAACCTCTGCAATGAGCAACTGCAGTATTTCACTTGGGAAGTTATTGTGTCAACTTGTGATTTAGATTATAGAAGTCATTAAAGAATTTACATAATTCTGTGATCTAGCAGCTGGGAAAATGTAGTTTTAATTGCCAGTACAATATAGTTATTCCTTGAGTTGTTATTTTTAGCATGGAGAAAACTACTAATATTATGCATTTTTTTTTTTTGAGTTGGAGTCTCACTCTGTCGCCCAGACTGGAGTGCAGTGGCCACTCCCGGCCACTGCAGCCTTGACCTGCTGGGCTCCGGCGATCCTTCTGCCTCAGCCTTCCAAGTAGCTAGAACTACAGGTGCGCGCTACCACACCGGCTAATTTTTTAATTTATTGTAGAGATGAGGACTCACCAAGTTGCCCAGGTGGGTCTCAAACCATGGGCTCAGGCAATCCACTCACCTCAGCCTCTCAAAGCGTGGGATTACAGGCTGAGCCACCGAGCCCGGCTGCATTTTTTTAAAAAGAAGGAAAGTTCTTAATGGTCATTTAGGCCAGTTTACTTACTTGAAACTGAGACTCAGAGACATTATTTGACTTATCCATGGTCACAGACTTCCTTGAACACCTTTTAAATTTGCCTGGCCTACTGAATTTGCAAAGAAGAAAGTATTATATACAGAAGATGCTGAGACTGGGAATGTCTTTTAAATGTGTTTTGATTTGTGTGTTGACAGAATCTCTATTAGAATATGTTTTTTTTTCCTGTTTGCCATCTCTCTCTCTCTCTCTCTCTCTCTTTTCATGAAGGATCTATTTCATGTGAATTCAGGTAGAGATGACTTCCTCACACATGACCAAAACACATTGGTTTGGCCAGTTGGAATTTCATATTCTTTTTTTTTTCAAAACCAAAAACATCTTTATTTTAATCTTTCAAAGAAGAATTCTCCTCTTTCCAAGATAATTATGATTAATTTACAAAAATGGGTATATATCTTCAAAGCATTTCCCTTTAATGGGAAACTTAGCTTTATAGGATCTAAATATTAAAAAGTTGAAAAAAAACAACAACTTATATTTTGCTGCCATTAAAAGACAAAACAAAATCTAGCATAAGTCAAGGAAACCCATTTGCACTTCAGGTCCTTCTCCTCCTGGAACCAGCATTGTTGTGTTATTTCCATTCAGCAAAGTCTGATCTAATTTAGTAATCCTTCTTCCTTCTGGTGTGATTTCAAACTCAGTGACCTCTTCCAGAACCATATTGACAAAGTCATCAAATTCTAGAAGAGTATCAACAATTTCCTTATGATTCTTCATCCTGATGTGAATTCTTGATCTTATTCATTTGTTTATAAGCTCTAGCAACAGCAGCTGCAATGGGTTGGTAGTAGCGTTTGCTGCCATGGCTTTGCCAGAAGTTGGAATTTCATATTCTTTAGGCCACGAGATTAGTTTAAAAATGGGTAGTTGAAGAAGACACCCTTATGGAAATTGGAACTGGCAACCAATTCCTGATCAAAACCACAAGTGCCCATGACATAAAAAATAAGATACACAAGTGGGACCTCATCAAACGGACAAGCTTCTGCAAAGCCAAAGAGGCCATCAAAAGAGCAGGGAGACAGCCCACAGACTGGGAAAAATTATTTGCCAACTGTATGTCTGACAAAGGCCTGACATCTAGAATCTACAAGGAACTCAAATGTGCCAAAAAGAAAAAAACAAACAGCCTCATTAAAAAATGGGCAAAAGGTATTAATAGACAGTTCTCAAAAGAAGACATACAAGCAGCCAACAGATACAGGAAAAAATGCTCAGGCTCACTAGTCATCAAAGAAATGCAAATTAAAACTACACTGAGATACCACCTAACTCCAGTCAGAAAGTCTATCATCAATAACTTAAAAAACAACAGATGCTGGACAAGATGTGGCAAAAAGGGAACACTTCTCCAGTGTTGGTGGGAGTGTAAACTAGTACAGTCTCTGTGGAAAACAGTGTGACGATTCCTAAAAGATCTAAAAATTGACCTTCCAGATGACCACAATCCTCCTACTGGGAATATACCCAGAAGAACTCAAATCACTCTATAAAAAAGATACCTGCACACATATGTTTATCACAGCCTTGTTCCCAGTAGCAAGAATATGGAACCAACCATGCTGCCGATCAAAAGAGGACTGGATAAAAAAATGTGGTACACATGCACAATGGACTATTATGCAGCCATAAAGAAGAACAAAATCATGAACTTCACAGCAACTTGGATGGACTTAGAGTCTAATAATACTGAGTGATCTTTCACAGAAACAAAGAACTGAGAATCACATGTTCTCACTCATAAGCAGACCTTGAACAATTATAATAGTATAAGTAAAGGATTGGCAGTAGCAGGAAACTGCTGGGAGGAGGGTGGGGAAGCAGGATTGGCAATAGTGGGAATCTGCCTGGGGAAGGGAAGGCACACCTCAACACCAAGGGTACCTGTATAATGAACAGTTGTATACCTAACCCTGAATTGTACCCCACATCTTTAAAATAAAAAAATTAAAAATTAAAAGAAAAGTAAGAAAAAGATTGGAGGAAAAAAAAAGAATGGGTAGTAACATAGACTTGTCAATCAGAGCTCTCCCTATGCCCCTTGTTAGGGCTATATAAAAACGACACTCTCTGTCCTCTATAATTGCTAACGTAACCCTCAAACTTCTGATGACTATCTTAAGAGAATGAAAGACAACACAGGAGAAACTAGAGCAAATTGACAGACCACATCTTGATGACATTGTATGAGAGTCTAAATCCCGCTGTGCCTGAAGTGAGGTATACTCCCTGGACACTTTTCTAGTTACATGAGCCAGTAAATTCTCTCTTTGTGTTGAGGCTAGCTGGAGTTAGTTTCCACTATTTAAGACACGGAGAATCCTACATTATATAGCACCCAGGGAACACAGGATTTTTTGGCCAGATGTATTACACATACTGATTCTCAAACAGGAAAGAGGCCAGGAGGCCAGGAGCTTGGGTTGCTACCGTGCGCCAATCCAGAGGATGCTTTCCGTCTAGGAGGCAAGGTGCTCCTAAAGTTGTATGGAGTTACAATGGGAGATTATTAGGGAAGAAAGGGAGTACTTAAAAAAATTCTACCCTCTTTCACTAGGAAATTTTGATAAGTTTTATCAATCCTGTAGTAAATAATTGTACCAGGAAATACATTAGGACAAAGGAAGGAGCCTTTTGTGTTGATGCAGGTGGAGGAGAGTTGGTATGGTGCAGAGGAGAGAAGCAGATGTACAGGACTGACTTCCCAGTCCCTTGTCTGTAAACAGGCAGATGCTTCATGACTGGGCACTCAGTCACCTCTTCTGTGAAACAGAGGAGATCATAGAAACAGACAGCTGTATCTATTGATAGGGCCACTGAGAACAAAATAAAGTGATACCTACGAGGCATGTAGAACAGTGCTGAGCACATGGTGGGTATGCAGTTCATGTTAGCTATTTTATGAGTTTTTAAAACAAGTAGATTGAGGGCTATTTCTGTTTCACATTAACCAAGTACCCTGAGGGTGTTGGCTAGACCAGACTTAGGTATGGAACCTGAAATTCACACTTCTTACCCTTGGAAGCAAGTTCGTTTTACAATGCTATGATTTCAATTCCTATCTGTCTTTAGAACACCCCGTATGAATCTACATCCTCTTGTTGGTTACACAGAATCCCATTTGCTATGAATGGTCTAGGAGAGGCTACAGCCCACCCTTTGGAAAAGAGGGGCTAATTTCTTAGAATCTAGTCTATAGAAACTAATAGGCCCACGTGTATAATACCTGCCTCCTGAAAACCTTCTGCCAATTAAGAGATACTATAGGTTATCTCTATAGAGCAGCGGTCCTCAATCTTTTTGGCATCAGGGACTGGTTTTGTGGAATACAATTTTTTCATGGATGAGAGGTGGGGGTAGGGAGGGAGGGATGGTTTTGGGATGATTCAATTGTATTACATTTATCGTGCACTTTATTTCTATTATTATTACATTGCAATATATAATGAAATAATTATACAACTCACTGTAATGCAGATCAGTGGGGACTCTGTGCTTGTTTTCCTGCAACTAGATGGTCCCATCTGGGGTGATGGGAGACAGTGACACCCGAAGTATGTTGCTTATGTCAGTCTACTCTGTAATCTCATTCTGGTTGCTGTCATTGCAGAAAACTGCTTCACAAAGACAGGATGCTGGAAATGGAAGCAGGCTTTTTAGTGCTGATGTGACAGAAAGTAGAGCTCAGGCGGTAATGTGAGCGATGGGGCAGCTGTAAACACAGATGAAGCTTTGCTCACTCACCTGCCACTCACTTCCTGCTATGCGGCCCAGGTTCTTACAGTTCACAGACTGGCACTGGTCCCTGGCATAGGGGTTGGAGATCCCTGTTATAGAGGATCACACACAGCAGCTGAATTTACAATCTGACTTTTGAAAACATATGTGTTTCCTGGAAAGCTACTTGGATCTCAGGGCATGACAATTTTGCTTTGTAGACCCATTCATCAAATGAAATCATCTTCTTTGGGATGCTATTTTCTGGGAAGAAAAACAATGATAAGCACAGAAGGCCAAGGGAGAGCTCCTATAAGGGGCCAGGAGTCACTGTACTGGAGCTTAGTTGCACCTTGAGTGTTGGGGTCTGGGTGGGAGGTGTAGCAGGGTTTCAGGATCCTTGAGATCATCCTTAGGCAGGGCGACCTGACTAGCTGGAAGGAATCAGTCAGTCAGTCAGTCAGTCCCTGTAAGTCTCTTGCAAACATTTAGGAACCTAGGCAGGTGCAAGAAGTCCTTGTCATTCAAATTAAAGAATGAAGGCGCCCGCTTGGTGGCTCAGCCTGTAATCCTGCGCTTTGGGAGGCAGAGGTGAGTGGATTGCCTGAGCCCGTGGGTTCGAGATCTGCCTGAGCAACTTGGCGAGACCTCATCTCTACAATAAATCAAAAATAAGCTGGGCGTGGTAGTGTGCGCCTGTAGTTCCAGCTACTCGGAAGGCTGAGGTGGAAGGATTGCCGGAGCCCAGCAGGTCGAGGCTGCAGTGACGGGGAGTGGCCACTGCACTCCAGTCTGGGTGACAGAGTGAGACTCCAACTTAAAAAAAAAAAGAATGAAGGCAAGAAGGGTAATATGACATATATTTTTTGAGGCTGGCTAGTCAGTAAAAGGAAAGTAAAACCCTTAAAAGTATGGCCTCTGTTTTGTGAGGTCTGCAGTGTATCTCTGAATTCACTCCATGACTCTGGATTCAGCATTTCCTCCTCACCTGGTCTTTTCTGCAGTGGAAATGAAGAAAACTGCTCCCAGAGATCCTTTGCCCTGCCTCCCCCCACAAAAAAAAAAATTAAGTGAAGAAAGCACATGAGAACAACTCGATAGCTTACTGCTCCTGAATTATTAACTGGTACCTGGACTTCGAAGCTGCCACAGCACAGATTATTCTCCTTCAGGGGAGTTTTGGCTTTAAGTACAGCAATTGTTACCCAGGACAGGAAGACAGGAAAAGGAAGAAATTGGAATTTGTTTCTTTTGAAAACGATCTTTTCTGGGAGCCTGACAATTATAAATAAGCATCTGTTAAGGGGTGGTGATAGTCTGCCTGCATTTTGCTCATTAATTAGTTTTCTTGCTGAGGGGAAAATGATTTATTATATATGTAATTAGGGAATTGATTTCACAGACTCCATAGTTGAAGTCCAAAATTGTTCACTTCAAATATTTGTATCTATTTTTCCCCCAAATACTGATTAGAACTAGAACATTTGTGATGTTTTTTTCATTGGCTTAAAATGCTAATGGAAGTACAAAAGGTGTAGGCTTGAGCTATTTGTAATTAGACATTCTGGATGCTGTATTTTTGTTTTTTGTTTTTTAATACAGAAGCCTACAGATGCACTTGTTCCTTTAGGCCCTGAGTGACCATGACCAACTGGTTTTATGATGAGTGTGTTTGATCTTAAATCCTTTGGAGGTCCAGAATAAGAAAATAGAGGGGCTGAGTCTGCTTCAATCAGGATGACCTTGACAATTAAAATTGTTAGGAGGTTGAAGATGGCTGAAACAATTAATCGGGCAATACATTTTTATGGATAGCTTTAAGGATGTCATAAGCACTGTAAATATTATGAAGGAGGGTAGGATAATAGTCTTCTCCTCTGAAAAGTTCTGATTTAATAAAAGACCTAAAACACATATGGCAAGGAACTTTAGGTGCAGGCAAGGCAGTTTGGTAAACATGGTGTTATCCCTGTTTTTGCTGAGTAATTACCATGTGCAACCCAAAGGAGGCAACCCCAGCCTCAAGATGGTTATAATTCAGGTGTAGAGGAATTACATGAAAACATAAATATTAATGTGGAATATCA